TCCATGATGATAATGGATAGAGGATTTGCCTTTCGGATAGCTGCAAATAAAATACTGTAAATGAATAATAATAACCAATCACAATTTTTTTTCAGCATGGTAATCACTCGATTACAGCCCACGCAGTTCAAAAATTTATTAACCAAACCGGGACTAGTGCATCAAGTAAACATATATACTTCTGTTAATATTAAGAGAATTGTCGCTGCTTGACATTAATTGAACTACCCACTCAAGCCCACCCTGAAAAATTTTTAAATTACGCGTTATAAAAAATCGGTACACTCTAGAGCAACCGGAAGTTCCACTATATATATATGGATAGATAAATATTGTTATTGTTGTAATTATTTTCGTTGATTTGTAACTATCGATTGATTTTTGTATGTAATAATTTCATTAAAAGATGAAGATGTATATTGATTAGTGTTGCCTTTTGTAAATACATGTATTTGCAATTTTTACTTGCCATATTACAGAATAAGAGTTTCATATTACAAATAGGGTTGTCATATTACAAAATGATCAAAGTTATAGATGGGCGTCTAAATTGTTTTTGGGGTTGTCTAAAGTCAAGATAGTATTTAGACAAAAATGTCTAAAATGCACCATATGTCTAAATTAATATAAATACTAATGATTTGCTTTAATACGACTAAAAGTCATGTGAATATACACAAGTTTAGTAAATTATCCAATAAAATTTAATTTCATCATTTTAGCTAAATGTCCAAATTAATTTATATTTTAGACATTGTCTAAATAATTTAGTTTAGACACCCATCTATAATTATAATCAAAGTCACTTACAAAAATATCCCTTAAACGAAATTGCGCAATCCAATCACAACCTTTCTTATTTAAATAGAATTATATCAGAATATGGCAATTTTTGCGGTGGACTTTTCCAAATTTGCTAATTTTGCAATCCAGCCTTTATCAGTAAGATCCTCGTAATACCATCCTTTTTTGGTCTACACGTTAAACATTGTTGATCAGTTATCAAGAATAGTATTATTATTATATGTATAAAATGTATAAAACATAAAAGTTCCCTCATTTCATTTATTATTTATACAGTACATATGAAAGTCAAAGATCATATATAGTCTAAATTGGAATAAACTTGTTAATTAGAACATGTGTTATCACATATCTTACGGTTTTAGGCCTGGTTTCCAATGATGAAAATTTTTACTAATTGCGACCCAAAAATTAAAAACATATACCTATTTTGGTATTACAAAAAAAAATAATTTTATGACCTTTCTATCAAAAAATAAAATAAAAAATAAAAAAAGTGGTCAGTTAGTATTTTTTTTGTCCAGATATAATTTCTGTACGTTTAAGGGATAATGTTTATTAAAAGGAACGAGTGTTTTAGTTATTCCCATTAATAAGTGATTTTCAAATTCTTCGTCTTGAGTTTGGGGAATATCAATTATCCAATTTCCCAGAAGTTCAAGTCCTTTGTTGGTATCTTTTAGAGATGGGCAGATCAGTACTATACGTATAGTGCGTATAGTGATTAGTGTTGGTTGCCAAAACTATTTTGAAGAGGCAAAAGTCAAAACTAAAATCAAAAGTTATATGTCAAAACTAAATCAAAAGTCAATAGTCAAAAATCAAAACTAGTTTCGACTTATGGCGAAACCTTT